ACAATAGTAACAGCACTTTTGGTCGCAGAAGCAGTGGTGCGCTTTATTTATCCCCGTGGAGAACTTTGTCTTCTGCATTTGACCCATCCTGATGCCACTTGGGCCTATGTTAGGAGCAGTGGTCGCCGTCACACAGCACCCGGGGACTCATCTCCAAACGTTACATTTTGGCTTGGTCAGGACTACTAGAGCTGAAGCTATAGTGCATGTTTTTAGTAATAGGGGAAATCGGAGCACTATTCAGACACGGGGAGAACACGCAAACCCCACTCAGAAAGGCCCTGTTCCGACTGGGATTTGAACCCAGGACCTTTTTGCTGAGAGCCCTCCTGCATCCTCTCTGCTCTGCTCTGGATCAGTGTAAAACCATGAAGAGTGTACTGCAGTAAAAGCTACAACTAGGGAAAAAAAAAAAAACAAGAAAAATAAGGATTGTAAAGCACAAAGCAACAGCTGTTTCAGAGCTGCTTAGGATTTGCTGCCGTTTCCAGCGCTTTCAAAAAATCATAGACACATGTGAAATCTCCAGTAAAGCACACGAGCTTGGTTTGGCACATAGTTAACGCCCTGATCGCCCACTGTGCGTCCTTCTATCTGCCCGCACCCCATACCGCTATGACCCACATACTTCTGACACCACATGAGGAGAAGGTTTGGGGGGGGAAATGTCAAAGTCTCCCCTCCTAAGTCTGACAGAGCCGACCTCCAGCTGATAATAAAGGTTTTAGTGAGTGTTGTGTGCTCGCGCTGCCACTGGGTCCGGGGAGAGTTGTTATAGGGAGTGAGGACCGGTGCGCAGACCAGAGGAGAGAATCGGAGAGGAGCTTTAATGAGACCACGGAGACGGCTCAGCGTGCTGGGTGGTTTATGGGAGCAGGAGATGGAGAGGGCGTGCCGAGGTGCATGGGTGATAACTCAGACGCAGGGATCCAACAAGCCATGGATAGAAGTAGTCTTACTCCCTCAGGATGCCATTGGCCGCATATAGATCCGTCAATACATCCATTTTGTTCCGCTTTACCCGTTGCTTGATCGGGCATGTGTCGAAGCACAGATGCCCAATTTCCATTCAATTTCAATTCTAATTTATTTTTGTAAAGCTCTGAACAGTAGTTATCTTGGATGACTTTACAAAACCGTTGAATTTACCAACACAGATCAGAGAATCAAAGTTCAAACACAAGAAATGCTATGATAAAAAACACAGTGGCGTTGGTCCAAAAGGGTAGATGACTGATGTCCATAAATGTTGCACACACACTCACTCAATCAATCAATCTATCATTTTTTTGTATAGCACAATTCATGTACAAGGCACTTCAAATGCCTTCACAAAAGCAATTCAAAAACACAGACCAAAAAACGTCAATTAAATATACAATCATTTCAAAACAGAGCAGCGTAAAAGTATGGGGTTTAAAACTTTCATAAAAATCGGGGTTTAAAAAAAGGGAGATAAAAGCAATAAATAGTATAAAATAGAATCAGTATACACTCCCTCTGGCTCATCCGGGGGAATCCTGAGGCGTTTATAGGCCAGATGAAAGACAGTCCCTCCAACGCTGTCTTCCCTGGGGTCTCCTCTCGGTGGAAAGTGCCCGGAACACCTCCTGAGAGAAGCACCCGAAAAAGATGATCTAGCCACTTCAACTGGCTCCTCTCGACGTGAAGAAGCAGCGGCTATACTCCGAGCTCCTCCCTTCTGGCTAATGGACAATGCAGTGCCAATATATAGACATGTATTAACATTTATGGACAGGGCTCATGCTACTCCCTTTGGACCAGTGGAGCTAAAGTGGATTTCCAAGCTCACTGCACTCAAAGTCCTGCATCAAGTTTCAAATCAAGAGGAAGCTTCATTCAAACAGCAGCTTTCATTTGTGCAGCAACCCTCCTCCTCCCCATCTCCGCCTTGTTTCAGGCTAGCTTGTTCACCCTTCTCTTAGCTACCACCACCATCTAGATAGCTAGATAGATACTTTATTGATCCCCGTAGGAGAAATTCAGGTGTCCAGCAGCAGAAGACTCACCCGGGTTTGTTGTACAGTCTGACAGCCGAAGGAACAAAGGATCTCTTTAAATCTAATCTAGGCCCCGGGGGATTTCATCTCATAATCTCCTGCAATCATCACCATGCAAGGCTCTGCCAGGGCTAAGCGCCAAATCCTAACCACATTTTTTGTACAAAAGCAAGAAAGGGAATCTTGCAAATATTGTCGTCAGTCGTATGTTCTAATTCATGCAGTGTCTGTTAATTGGCAACCAATATACAATTTTGATAAAAGCCTTGTTTGTGTCTGTTCCAATGGCTCCTATGTGTTAATTATTCCATTTCCTGTGTTCAAACTGATCTGTTCCGAATCCACAACTTTGTAAATATATTGAAATGAATAAACAACATATTTTTACCATTTCATCAAAGTTGGTCTCACGCTTGGAGTCGTTTCGATTTTAGTACCCAAAGTAGCTTTTAAACAAATCCCTGGGAATGCGTGTTACTTGCGTGGAGTGCGGACAGCTTCATACATGTATTTTATGCGGCTCTGGGGGCCCCCGGGAACGCGTCTTGGCCCAGTCTGTGAAGTGTCTGCTACAGAGAAACTCATTAGTGCTGAGTAATGAGCCTCCTGCGAACACAGCGCAGAATTATACCCTCTATCACACACACCACCACTGTTTGGCATTTTTCAATTTAATTAAACAGTCAGTAATCTGCTTGTAAAAGCTTCTGAGGTCTCCATCTATAATGAAACATGGCCTGACATTAGTGGAGCTGAGATGACGGAGGGATGCTATTGTTGCTGCTGGCGGATAATAACCCAGATCCATCGTCATATTCTCAAGGACCACGTACCAAGAGAGATTAGGTTTATGCAAAGCTCAAGATGGGTATATTTTAGGAAACTTTTACTACTTCAAGGTTGTAACTTTATCATCAGGCTTTGAAGGCCTTGCTCGCCTAACAAGTTGTGAAACTGACTTATTATTGCGTAGTGCATGATATGGGTAACAGCTGCCCGTCAAAATTGTATTAGGACTATGGTGGTCCACTGTTTATTGCGGGGGTTATATAAAAAAATTCCCATAATATGCCAAACCCTTTAAGTAGAAACTATCTGTTTTAAGCATAGACTGTAAATATTAACGGACATAGTCACGCCTATCTCCACCGTCCCAAAATATGGGCCAAAAATGGGCCAAAAAATTTGCTCTACTGGAGATATCCAAAATGTCCGTGAGTGGTCCCGCCCACTAGAAAATTGTGAAATAACGTATCTGCGCATGCGTCAGCCGGCGCAGCTCCATTCATTTAAACGAGAGACTTCAAAAATTCACACCCAGTTAACTAGAGTGGTCCAAAAAAATTCACCCCCTCAGCATTGACACACATGTGGAACGGAGCTCTGGGCCAAGAGCCAACTTTTGGACCATCCTGTAAAGACGTTTTTGAGAGGTAAGAAGATGCTATATGTTAGCATTGGCTAATTCTTATTCTGGGTCCGCCCCCATTGGCCCGGGGTGGTATTGCAGCATGTCAGCGCACGTCATTTTGGCCACTTTTGAGCCGGGACCCACCCCCACTGGTTTTAAGGCTGTAAAACCCCTCACACACACTTTATACACTTTTCTATCTGAACTCACGACTGCTGAAGTAAGTAAGTAGTAAGTAAGTATTTATTTATATACCGCCTTTTCACTGCAGATCTGAGTCTCAAAGCGGTTTACAATTGTTAATTTTTTGTGCATTAGTCTCTCACTCCACATAGAGATGGGAGCGGGGTCGCCAGTACAGGAGGCGCATGCTAGAACTATTGGACATATTTTTAGTGGTAGGGGAAACCGGAGTACCCGGAGGAAACCTACGCAGACACGGGGAGAACATGCAAACTCCACTCAGAAAGGCCCTGGTCCGACCGGGATTCGAACCCAGGACCTTCTTGCTGAGAGGCGAGAGTGCTATCCACTCAGCCACCGTGCCGCCTTAAGTATAAGTGCGTTATAGATATATCAAACCTATTCTTTGTTGGTCTGAGTGCTGCTGCAGCTGTCAAAAGCCGTGCATACACTGTAAAACACAGCTGCAGAGGACACCACACTGAGGAGACGAGCAGGACAGAGGGCTACAGGAAGACCGCGGCCGTCCTCTCAACCAATCCCAGCAGTTTATACAAGCCACAAAAGTTTTCTTCTGATTTTAAATAAAGGTAACTGTCATCTTATACTAGTGGTTTTATGATGTTAGAGTATACACCATAATTGCAATCAAAATAATCTGCAAAACAGCGAGAAAATGGATGGCAGTTTGTATGAGCTCTTTTTGTCCAGACTGTGTTTTTCTGTCTGTGTTTGTATCCTGTTATTGTTTCAGTCTTTCGATTTTCAAGTTTGAACTGAGTAATTAAACTAAACTATCTACCAGCCATTCTCAAAGTCTCCATCACTGAGCTTCCGCTGGTCGATCGAAGTTTACACAGTTGGGCGGCACGGTGGCTGATGGTTAGCACTCTCGCTTCTCAGCAAGAAGGTCCTGGGTTCTAATCACGGTCGGAACAGGGCCTTTACATGTTCTCCCCGTGCCTGCGTAGGTTTCCTCTGGTTTTCCCTACCACTGAAAATATGTACAATGGGCATGAATGTAATGAGTGATTGAATTGATGGAGTTGATTGGAGGCTTGGTCTGTAAAAATAATCAGTACTAACTTACTTAATAAAAATGCGCACAAATTGTATGTTACCACTGCTATAATAAACTATAGTCCGAGGTATAATGGGCAACACCAGCTCTTGACTTTTTCTGGTAAAGCAGACGGTGATATCGCTAATGCATCCCCTGGGTCCACTCTTAAGTTTCCAACCTTGTGACTGCAGTTGGACCTGACGATGCATGATAGGTCTACTGGCTTTAGGTGACATTTTTTTGGAACATCCTGCCAGGAGTCACAGCTCATATCAGCAAGTCAGCAACAGCGGCCAAGAAGAGAAAGCTGCCAGCGCTCCAGATGCCACGCCGAGAGTCTGTGGTCCTGTCACCACTGCTGCTGACTGCAGGTGTTACGATCATGAATGAGAGGTTGATTTATCCCAAAAGCTGCCAGCGACAAGAAATCTTGATGGTTCTGCTCCAACAAACTGCGGAATCTGCGCAGACTGAACTGTGTGTGTTGGTATAGCAGTGTGTGGCAATTAGGTCTAAAGAAAATATCAAATAATAACCATCCGTCTGGACAATGCTAACCCACTAGCTCACTGAAGTCTTTGTAAATCCAGATATCAGCCACATAAGGATCAATAAGATGCCTTCATTTGTGGGGATAACTCCAGCTTGCCGGGCGACAGTAGCTCAGTTGGTAGAGCATTGGCCTTAAGGCCAGAAGGTCATGGGTTCAATTCCCACCTCTGCACCTTCTCCACCGACTCCCACTGATGACTGCTGTCGTTGTGTCCTTGGGCAAGACACTTAACCCCACTTTGCCCAAAGCCCCCACTGAAAGATCAAGGCTATGCTCACACTCAGAGAGCAGCCGTCCTCCTGTGGACTCACCACCTGCAGAGGGTCAGTGAGGGGCTGGTGCTATGAGACTTGGGTGGCATCTCTGATTGCCATCCCCCTGACCCAGAAATGGATTAAGGGGTAGAAAATGGATGGATGGATGGAACTCCAGCTTGCCTTGACAACCATCTTAGTAACATGTCTGTCCTTGTCAGCTGAAGAAATGCCCATATAAGGAGATTGGCTCCAGATAGATGAAACTTGGCTTCTTTTTATTTTCATTTTGTATTTCTATTATTTTTTTCTTGTTTTTTTATTGCCTTATGGAACAACATAATATAACATGACCAGTCTTTGATTCATATTAGAACATCTTATCATCATATAATATTATACTATTTTCATTGATGATTGTACTTGAAATCGGCTTCTTTTGCAAACATTATGGTTATGTCATCACTCCAAAAATATGCTCCATGGGATTCGCTAATAATTTAACAAATATACTTTTGTAAAGTTAAATGAATTACTTTTACTTTTACCATAGAAGATTTCTGATTGAAATGTCCACACTTTGGTTAATACTAACAAGTGTCTTTAAAAATATATATATTTTCGAAGTCTCAAAAAAATAAATGTTTCAATTACATAACCTTGTTCTGATTGCACATAAAGAACAGAGAATAATTATATACAAACATACTTACATACATACAGGACTGTGCCAATACACAATAATAACTATTTTATTTATTTCTTTAGTTTAACATTTTGCTAAATTAAAATTTTCTGATCTGCTTTAAAACCATAAAGGGAATGGACTTATTTCTTTATCTATACATAGTTCCCACAGACCAATGAATGTCACATGACCTCCTCGGAGACGCCATCTTTGATGGCACGCTGCTGTGTTTGTGCATTCCATTAAACAGAAGAATGAGAATAAATGTAGATATTCAAACGCAAATTGGAAAAAAAGGGCAACTTTTGAGCAAATAATTGTATATTAATACAATGGCACCACAGTTTAACGTGCTACGGACATGTTTTACATATTTGATCAAATTATGCAGCAAAAATTAACAAGCAATGCAAACATTTCTCAAAAACTTTAGATTTAATACCAGTTGGAGCTCCATTTAATTATTTTAATTATATTAACAATTAATTTAATTAATGCTAATGCCACACGGACACTCTGGATTGCTGTTATTGTTTATTTCCGCGTTTTTGACCGTATGTTTTGGTGAATGGTGGGCAACTGATTTTTCCAGGCGTAAAGAGCAGTTTATTTTATGACACAGATCTTTTTACAGAAGCAATGCTGTTTGTGAACATTGTTTTAGCCCACCATAGAACTATTATTAGCTATTTAATACATTTACGTTGCCCTCGAGAGCCTCGGACGCGACACCGATCCTCCTCATAATAAAGTAATCTAACGCTAAATAATGAAACTCTCAAGTTACCAAATATCAGCATACACAAGTTAGTACTGAGTAAATTACGTCTGTCAACACATTATAAGATACGATACGCACCTGACACAAAGTGCTCCGAGCATATTCTTGCGTGTTTTGAGGGAGTTTCTTGCCTGTTTATCTTCACAAGCCATAACCTCCATCGTTGTTCTGACAAAAGCTTAGTCTTCTCACATTCATGAAGTCTAATGATGGGTATACTGTAAAATCCAAGTTTAACGGAACCTCCGGCACGATTTGAACATCCATTGACCCAGCAGGAGATGACCATTTTCAACTTTATCACGACATTAACACGTTTCAGCTTCTTTTTCTATTGTTTTGCCCACAGAATGCCAACACAAATGGCGCCGGGTCGGCAAATCCCCGTATGTAGTGACGTCATGTGGGAACTATGTATAAAATAGATTTACTCTGAGGACTATTCTAGACCAAAATAAACTTGTATATTTTTACATTTCTCCTGAATATTAAATATAACGTCAAATAATGTTGCAGATTGGAACAAAATCTATTACAACTCTTGTAATACTGGTAAAACTTGTGTTTACCACCTCTGCGGCAGTTAGATTTTTCTTCGTTTGTTTTCGCATTTCAATAAACTCCTGTAGGTTTGCTGGTAATTGCGGCGCGGATCTGGCAACCCCGCGGTGCTGTGGGACCTGTTTGAAAGCTGCGAGGGAATCTCAACCACAACAAGTACAAGTACGTTTATTATGATCGCTTTCTTTTCACTGCTTTTCTCTCTGCGTGATGTCCAAACACAACACGGAACTAACAATCTTTCAAATGACCCGTTTTTTTGCTTTTACCAACGCACTTCCGCTAAACTTTGACACATTAGCTAACATCCACACTGCAGTCTGTGATCTGCACACGCGTAGCATAAACAAACACGTCATATTCGCACAATTGTATCATCCCAGTAATGTCCCTGTCTGCCGTATTGCTCTGTAGAGTCCCTAGATAACGTTGCATGTGAATATTACAGAGTACTAACGCTATGTGCTGTGTTTTTTATATGTTAGATTGTAAATTGTGTGTAATATTAAGGGGGTTTCGTGTAGCATATCGTGGACAGTCAAATACCTTCTGTTTCTCAACACTTATCACAAGTGCTTTTCAACCAGTGTGCCGTGGCCTGTTTGTGAGCCTTGAGACTTTGCTTGATGTGCCTTTGGATATTCATTATGTACTATGTGTGTGTACGGGTATATGGATGTGTGTGTATATGTGTGTGTATGTATATATTTGTATATATGTGCGTATGTATGTGTGTTTAGGCACTTATCTGTATAATAGTATCATGTAAAACTCTGTACTTTTATGTTGTACAGGACAGTATCGAGTATTCAGTATTAAGTTTTAGTTTGTAGTTGGGGGTGGGAGTAAACAAGTATTTCACTCCCTCTCACTCCCTTTCAAGCAAAAAGCATTACTGTATTGTTAAGAAAAAAGAGAATGTAATCTGTGTTTATATATTGTTTACTCTAACGTAGGGGTGGGCGATATGGCCTAAAATTCATATTGCGGTATAATTTGGGACACAGACGGTAGACGGTATATATTGCGGTATAATTTGTTGTGTGAATTTCAATATAGGTCTAGCAGGTTCTTGCATAAAATAGTCAAGATTGTTAATTATTTATATATTAGAATCTAATATATATATTTTTTGAGTTAGAAAATCAGTTGTGAGATGAATAAAGAGACAAATAACATACATTATTTATGTATGTTACAGTAAATACCATTCACTGTAACAGCAATTTTTTAAAAGAAAAACATATGCATTCATTTAAAATATAAAAAACTCACAAATGTTGAAATCAAAGTCTGTAGGAGTTAGACATGGTCATTATTTATAGTGTCTGAGAGTTTCGTGCAGGTACATGGCTTCAGTAAAAGCTGTTTGTTTACAAAGCTGGTCTTGACATTTGTTGACGCTCCCTAAGCGCTTTTCTCTGCGCTTGCAGTGAACTGGATGATTCAATGGATTTATGTTCATTAAAACAGCGCATTGGATTTGAACAATTGATGTAAATGATCATTTTGGCACAAATAATTTTGTTTAACAAAGTAGCTTTCGTGAGATATTGACCGCGGAGGTCCGAATCTGACGCTAACTTTCCCAAACTTCTGCTGTGATGCTGCGGACACGGCACACGCATGGATCTATTTTGGCTCACGCTGGCGCTTCGAGCTTACGCCCCTTTGACACTGATTGGCCAAAAGGTAGACTCTTAAACTGTGATTACTGTGTGTGTATTTACCTCTGCTGGGGCCGCTGTGACAACAATACATAGACAGAAACACTGTGTTAATGCCGTGCTGTTGTTCGTTGTTTCCAGTGGTGTCCAATAGTGCTAGGCTAATGCTAGGCTAATGTGCTAGGCTAATGCTGCTGAATGCCGGTTTGTTTTGGTCCTTTCTGCTGGCGTCAGAGCCTGCGCAATTTGATGACATAATGACCTATCGCAATATGCCGGTATAACAAAAATCTCTACCGTGGGCCAAATTTATATCGCATACCGCTTATACCGTTTATATCGCCCAGCCCTACTCTAACGTTTAGGAATTTAAGTTTTTTAACTGTGTCATGCTCATTCATTCATTTATTATCAAATTGGTCCAAATAATGTGAAAAGAAAATGAGGTGAGAAGATTTGAACAAATTATTGCTCTTGGTTTATTTGATGTTACTATATAATTCAGTCTGATGAGAATTACTTTTCTTTCTTATCAAAGGCTGCAGAGTTTAATTTTTGCATCAGTTTTAGCTGCTGGTGTGCCGAGAGATTTGTTGCAATTAAAACGGTTGGTGGTTGGGAAACACTGCCCTAGACCTCTCAGATAAATCCCATTTGACGGCTTCTAGTTTTGGATTGTGCATTCTTGGTCTTCCTAACTTTGTACCTTTTTCTGTTTTTTATTGTTTATTCTTATTCCATTATTATTATGTTATGTATTATCTTTTACTTTTGAGATATTAGGAGTTCTACCTTTAACTTATTTTAAAGAATGTAAAGTGCTCGTTACCATAGCTACACACTGTTTACTGTCAGAAAAAGTAAGTAAAGATATTAAAAAGAAACAAAAAATCCCTTATAAATTACTCTCTTTTAATGAATATGGTGAACAATTAGATATTCCGGAGGGGAGTGGATTAAAATAAGGCTTTTGCTTCGACCAATCCATTTTCAAACTATGCACAGGTTTTCTCTTGTTTACTTTTATTATCATTTTTTCTGTGAATTATTGTTTGTTTATCTTTTGTTTGAAATAAATAAACACAATAAAAAATAATAATCCAGAATTCCGTTAGTTTGAATGGGAGCAGTCAAAATGACGGCTTTGGGAGTTCTAGTTATTTCCGAATTCTGGGAGTCCTTGTGTTAAAGTGATTGTCTGGAACTCTACATGCATTACACATTTAAAATAAGTCATTTTATGAGTTATAATATTACGAATAAATCCCGCCTTCCCTAATCTTAGATATAATCTCAAAATCCACTATGCCGTCCACTTCATCCATTCAAGTGATGCCTAGGGCTGTCAATCATCGTGTTCGTATATATATTTCAAATATTTAAAATATATATGTATATATTCTAACGAATATTAGACAGCCCTTAATATTCGAAGCTGTAATGGGCATTATATTTTTTAAATGATAAATATATATATATATATATAATAGTTAGTTCCCAAAGGTTTCACCGTGACGTGGCAAGACGGGTAACAGCTGGGCTAGCTAACTGACTGGAACTCTCTGGAACTACATGAAAACTGAACAAAGAGTGATCAAAGAGTGAACATCAGCGGTGAGTAGGGCTGGGCAATAAATCAAATTTAGGCAATTAATTGGCTTTGAAAAAATCGAATTTGTGAAAAATGTGAAAATCGTGAAATTGAATGAAGGATATTGTGAGAGTTCCAGCAGAACACAAATTATACTTACATTATCAGCACAGTCTGTACAAGACTTTTATAATACGTATTGGGGGAAACATATTAAAAATAGTTTTTAAACTTGAATATTGATCGGAAAGATCAAAACATATTTTTAAGGGCGTCTGTCTTCAGTCACTTTAATGAAAATCTATTTAAAATCAAAATTGTCCAAAGCAGGAAATAAAATCGAGATTTTACTTTTTTTTCATATCACCCAGATAAAGTGTACGAACTACTGTCCGGAGTAATGTTAGTATTTTACACACCTGAAGTACAAGCACAGAGTGCGTTTCCAAAGGGCAGCGGCCATTTTTGGTTTGAGAGGTCCATTATCAAGAAATGATGATCCGTTCCGTTTTAAACGTTTTAAAATTACATTCAAATCAATGGAGCGTTCTACTGCTGCTGTGAGGAGCTGTATAACAAATTATGAGGAAATATGCACAAATATGAATATTTGCACGGAAAAGTAGGCACAGTTTCAAGACTAATCAGAAGAAAGGGGGGAGGGAGCTTGGGTCACTTTAATATTACTATCGTTGTGGATTTTCTGGCAGCGCTCTAAAGCAGCCTGCCCTGAATGAGGAAATTACTAGACATTGAACAGACAAGGGTAAACAAAAACATTCCTCCCTCAGTTATTAAAGAAATCAAGTCCTCATTGATATGTGTAGCTCAGGGCTGTACTTTACGCCTCTAAACTCTGATACACTCTGGTATAGAAACAATCTGGTCTGACCTAGTAGCTAGCACATTGGCATGGATACTGAACCCAGATAAATATGGGACAACAGGTGAACAGCAATGAACAGACTCCAGCTGAAGTTATAACCGATACAGAAGTACATACAGAGGACAGGATGGTGCTCATGTTCCCATACATCTCCATATGCAGCATGACTGACAATCTGTGTTTTTATTCTTAAAGGTCCAATATTTCACGCTTCTTCATTTTTCACAGGCCCTCCAAGCACATGTGTGTTTCCACGTTGTTTTTCTGCCTCTAGAGAATGAAAGAGAAAGATTTCTTCTCTAACTAAACCTTGAGGCAATCTATAAATAAACTACTTTGGGCCAAATAGCACTGTAATGATGCTTAAAGCAGAGAAAAGTCAAAACACGTAAAATGGGACCTTTTTAAAGTTGTTTTTCTGTTTCAGTTCTGTTCAAGAGTTACTGTCATAATTTCACCCATATTGTATTTTTTTCCCTAAAAATGTAAAATGGACTACATCCTTGAAAAAAAATCTTTGAGTGGCCTAATGGCTTCAACTAAACGCAATTTCTCACCAAGTAGGAAAACATCAATTATCTTTCAACTACTTCCTGTTTTCCACAATTCACTTCACAGAGAAGTTTTAAGAGACATTAAATCTTCTTCCTCATACTTTCCATTGCTGCACTTTGGAGTTGAAACATTGCAGGACAAAGTAAACTCGTCTCACTTTTGGCGGAGAACAGATGAAGGCTCTTGGTGTGAGGAGCGCCTTGTCCTCGAAGGGCCGTGATGGTGTGAGAGCACAGGGACACGGCCGCCTGCTCCCTCGACACCTAAGACTTATTACTGCGTTATTAGCTCCAGACAGACTCCTGGGGCGGACCTCCGAGCTCCCCCAGTCCTGGTGGCTGTTGTGTCGCTGCTCTTGTGAGAATATAAAGTGGTGGTATCGGAATTAAAAAGAATGAGTAGCCGCACCAGGTCGAGAACAACTGTTTTTGTGATTTACTATTATATAAAGCAAAGGAAGTTT